ATTTATGGATTATGGGGACCATTTAGTACTGTAATTCTCTGATTGGTATAGTGAACATATTAGCCAAAATTAAAAAAAAAATGAACATAGAAGTACAAGACAAAGGCGAATAAGACTTCTTATATGTTAACAGCATTTAGATGGAAATCAAATTTAAATGCAGTCCACTCTGCTTTTGAAGAGGCTTTGGTTCAGCACCCAAATCTCGATTGCTTGATCCAGTCTCCTGTGAGAATTCCCAGAAGGTGTCTTCTTAAACAACCAACCTATTTTTAGTGATAGAGCCACTCGTAATAGCTGTGTCTGCGTGGGACTGATAACTAATGACCAACTTTGGACGAAGTCATAACCTTTCCTTGTATGCCCTCCCAATGTGTGTGACAGCCTCCCTGTTCTCACACCCAGTAGTCCATATTGCTGTCTTATCCCTTTGTGTTCTAACGTTAACAACCACTCCACACACGTCCTCACTGTAGTCATCAAAAGATTCTCCAGTAAGGCACAGCAAAGTCTCTAGCCAAAAGCAATCGTGGTCACTTCATCTCTGCTGCTTGTTCAATGTGATCAGCCATCATTCCCCACGCTTGTTCTTCCCATCGTCCCACATGGGCTCAATACCATCAGTCAAAAGTGAGTAGTCACAGCCAGGCATTAAATTACTGGACAACTGGATATGGTTGTACAGAGCCCAGAAGTCTTCAACAGTGTCAAACTTAGAGATCAGCCGAAGGTTTCCTTGCCAAGTTTTGCTTTTATCATTCTTAAAAAAACCAGGGTCCATCTGTTCTGCAAAGGATGTTTTATATAGTGTTCTGAAGTAGCAACTTCCTGATTATATTCTGCTTTTTCTTCGTCTATAGGTGGGGGAATAGGAGTAGGTGTGGTTTCCGGTTCCACGGTCACCATCTTAGATGGATTTGCCCATATACATATATTTTATCTTTCTGTGACATGCTCTTATTTTTTCCCCAGTATTTCTGAGCTATATGGTTGTCTGAGTTTTTTCAAATGATCATAAATCTCCAAATTTTTTGCAATATAATTATTTTTTAAAATCTTTAACTTAAAGATTTATTTATTTATGCATACCAACTGGGGTACAGGTCAGAGGTACAGGGGCAGTGAGAGGATTTACCAGAGACAGAGTGGGGAGCAGAACAGGCCGACTGAAGAAGTACACTGCTGAGGGGAGCAGCGGACCAGTGAGGAGAAGTCTGCCGCACCATGTGGTTCACCTCTGAGGCAGGGATCGAACTCATGCTGAAGTGTCTTTAGCTTCTTAGTGCTGTCCTTTAACCTGCTGGGTTAAAGGGAGGGAGTGAGGGTCCTACTATATAATTATTTTTAAAAATACAATTATAAGTGCAGTTCAAACCCACGTTGTGTAGGACTCACCTGCCCATGGCTACATAATGTCTGTAATGATCACTCCATATACCCCAAAAGGGAACCTACTGGTACAGAAATGTGCTGACAGCTGATGGGTAAGGCCAGAAGCTTGGAAGAACAATCAAAAGTCTTCTTATCAAGAGGTTGATTTCCCCCTGTGCAAGCAAACCAAAGCTAGTTTGGTCTGGAATTCAGAAATGACCTCTGTTCCCAAACAGAGCAATGATCTTTATTTAACTGTGTTTAAAGTCCTTTATGTTTCCCAGAGCTGAAAGAGTCTGTGAAGCTGCCAGATTTTTATCCTTCTAAAGCGCACCTTAGGGGTTACAGTCTTCCTTGTGAAGGATTTCGCCTTGAGTGGCCTTCGGGCTGCTAAGTAGAGCTCATACCACTCAGCCTGCTCCCTGGCGCTCTGTCGTCTGCTGTCAGTGTCCTCCCCATCCTCTGCTGCTGCAGTGAACTTCAGCTACCATGCCTGTCCTGCTTGGTTTCATTCTGCACACTTACTCGCACTGTTCTATCACCTGGAATGACATTCCCCTTTCTCCATTTTCTCAGTCTACTTGGGATCCTTTCCCAATCCACCTTGACAGGCTGTAACTCGTCCCCTTTCTGAACACCCATTAAATGGTCAACCTGTCTCACAGCCCTATCACATTCTGGCTGGTATTTCAGTTACTTAGGTTCCATCTAAAGTGACTCGAGCCTTCCATTCCTCCAGTGAGGCCAGTTTGTTTCACCACTGGACCTTTCTATTTGTTCTTTGGTCAAAAACACTCTAGAGGGCTCTCCCTGATACAGATAGCAGCACCAGGAAGCTATCTGTAGCCAATGCAGCAGGAGTTCCATCCCCAGCCAGGGATGAGTACCACATGATGCAGCAGACCTCTCCTGTCTCCCCACTGCTCCCCACAGCAGTGTATTTCAGTCAGTCTGCCTGTTCTGCTCCCCACTCTTTCTCTGGTGAATACTCTCACCTCCCATCCTCTGGGCTATACCCCAGTTCTTATATGCATAAATAAATATTAAAAAAAAAAAACAAAAGAACTAAAGCATTCTTTCTGGAGATTCATGTTAAGCACATCTAGGCAAATAGAAGCTTCATGGTAACAGGGAGCCTGCTGTCTGTTTGGCTCACCACAGCACCCAGTGCCTGAGGCAAAGCAGGCATTGCACATATGTTTATTGAATAAGTGGAGGATATGCCAGGATTCATATTTTTTTCAGGTGTCTGGCCTGGGCTTGTAACTAACAATAGGTTTTGCCACTCTGTAATTACTCACTTTACATGATCTGAACTTTTTTCTGGTTATTGGTATTTTCCTTATATCTAAATTCAATGGACCTCTTAACTGGAGTTCAAAATTGGAAATCTAAGAGGTAAATATACTGGTAGGAGATAAAGAAATGTACATCTGCTTTATTGATTTAGGGATGAATATTTCCTTTACTATTCTAATATCTTAAACCCAGAATCTTTAAACTTTTTTTAATGTTGCAGATTTTATTTTTTGAATTATTTAGTGCATTTAACAGAGGTGATGAATAAAATCTTATTTGAATTTTCCATTTACCTAAAAGTCCTGTGAAAGTCCACAACCTAGGAGGGGTTAATCTAACTTTCTAGCTAAGTGAGTTTCTACTGTAACAGTCATAGGGAGAATTTTTAATCAGAGAAAACTTTTTAATATTTTCAGTCCCTTGAATATTCTGTTTTTCTCCAACTTTAGTGGCAAAGACACTGGAAAGCAAGTTCCATTATGAAGCTAAGTTGTTCTTGCTAAGAAGCAATGTCATATCAGCTTGTTTCTGTGAGAGACTGAGTCAGTGAGGGGTCCAAATGCCTTTAATCTTTTTTTTTTTTTAAAGATTTATTTATTCATACAGAACTGGGGTACAGACCAGAGATGAGGAGGGTGAGAGGATTCACCAGAGAGAGTGGGGAGCAGAACAGGCAGATCGAGGAAGTACACTGCTGAAGGGAGCAGCGGGCAGGTCAAGAGAGGTCTGCCACGCCATGTGGATCTCCTCCGGGACAGGCGGGGATCGAACTCATGGGGAAGTGTTTTAAGCTTCTTAGTGCTGTGCTTTAACCCACTGCGCCACCAGGGAGGGCCATGCCTTTAATCTTTTAATCCTCTGACATAATCTTAGTCCTGTTACAGTAAGTGCATACTTACGAGTGTGTACTGAGGTTGCATATGAATGAATAGCGGGGCTCAGGACTCTGGACACATAGTACATATTTGACCAAAATAGGCTTGCTAATCTCCCTGAAAACTTCTCTTTAGTAATCTCTCTCACCTCTGCCTAATCTTCTTTATCTTTTCTGTTTTCCTCATTTGTTACTGGGATGAATAAATAGAGTCAAAGAGGATTTTCAAAGATCCTTTTGGTAGACAAATGGAATGAAGAAAATTATGTTGAAAGGAATTGACGCAGACCTGACATTTCAGGGCTGTATTTAGACCTGCTGTGTTTTTGGTAGAGTAGTAGGTCTTTTCACTGTGTTGTCTCAGCTTCCCCATCTGCAAAATGTCAAAGACACTGCCACATTATTTCAGTGCAAATTGACAAGATTGGGTGGATGTTAGTTCTCAAAGTCTAGGAATGGTACTTGATATAGACAAGTAAAAATGCCTGTCATTGCTTCATTCTCAAGATCCATTAACATATCTTCAGGGTACTTTCATTACCTTGGAAAAACACAAATGATGTTAGCTAAAAATTATTTAATGTACTTAATAATAATAAATAGTTCTAATTTTGAAATACACTCCTTATATATACGTAGAAATAAGTATGTATATAAATGTTAACTAAAATGTTAACAGTGATTAACTACTGGTTGTAGGAATATAGGTGGAGATAATAGGTGAATTATCTTCTATACTTTTTTCTGTTTTTGAATGCTTCTCTTCTAATCACTTACAACTTGCAGTGTTTTTGTTGTTTTTTTTTTTTTCCAGTTAAAGATTTATTCGCTGGTGGCCCAGCAGGTTAAAGCACCGTATTATGAAGCTCTCCGAAGCCATTGCAGCACAAGTTCGATCCCGGCCAGGGAGCTGACCCACATGGCAGGGCAGAGCTCACCTGACCCCCCCCACACACACTGTTCTCCTCAGCAGTGTACTTTGTCAATCTGCCTATTCCGCTCCCCACTCTGTCTCTGGTGAATTCTCTTACCCACTACACCTCTGGCCTGTACCCCAGTTCTTTTTTAAAAAAAGTTAAAAAAAAAAAGATTATTTATGCTTACAGAGCTGGGGTATAGGCCAGAGGTGCAGGAGTGGTGAGAGGATTCACCAGAGGCAGAGCAGGCAGCTCAACTGAAATACACTGTTGAGGGGAGCAGTGGGTGGGTCAGGAGAGGTCTGCCACGCCATGTGGGTCACCTCCGTGACCAGGGATCCCTGGTCACCTCCGTGACCAGGGATCGAAGCAGTGAGCTTCATGGTGCTATAATATTAACTCATTGCGCCACTAGGGAGGGCCCCAACTTGCAATGGTTTCTAAAAATTGTTTTAACAAGTGCTATAGAGTTGCTTGTTGCATGGCCCTGTCCTGAGGGCCGCCGCTGGGCTGTGTCCTAATGGTGTGGCTCTGCTCAGTCCAGGACCTGTGTGCGGTGGAGGACCATGGCTGCGAGCAACTCTGCGTGAACGTGCTGGGCTCCTTCGTCTGCCAGTGCTACAGCGGCTACACCCTGGCCGAGGACGGGAAAAGCTGTGAGGGTGAGTATTCCGTCCAGCCTGCTCAGTGAGGAAGGACAGAGGTACAGGAAGGGGAGGGGAGAGCCTGAGTCTCAACTGTTCTTTTTTGAGTTTCAACAAAGCATTTTTGTCTCTGGCCTACTTGTCAGACAGAATTTGAACTTTAAGAGCTTACTTTTGACTGAGGTTGCTATTTTCTCATTCTGGGTCCTCAGCAAAAAGCATATTTATGTTAATCTATGTAAACGGAATTTTGTGTTACTGTAGGCTTTGAAAAGGACTGGGTGGACTTTTGTCAGATTTGAAGGATACATTCAGTAATGCTCGTGTGTTGTGGATGAAATTCACTGAGTGGTGTGAGTCAGGTTGCTATGTGGCACCTCAAAGACATAGGCAACCTTCCCCCGTAATCACTGGACCTGCAGTGCAGTGGCAGGCCAAGTGATCGCAGGTATAAAAGAACAACTGAGAATAAGACATATGGTGAGAGAAAATCAACAGTCAAGCCCCAGTGTCTTAGAACTGCTGTCACTAAGTTGCTGTCAGTTGGGAAACTCCCCACGTGTGCCTGGTGAGAGGTTGGCATCTGATATTTCCAGTGAGAGCTCATGCCCCTCTGCCCCTGCAGAGCAGGCCAGCTAAGCCCTCGTCTAGTGATGGCACCTCCTGGTCTAGACTTGCATCCACAGTTGGGCCTCCCTGGTGGCTGAGAGGTTAAATCTCGGTGCTCTCTCCACCATGCTGAGTTTGATCCGCACAAAGAAGTTGACCCACATATAGAGCAGCAAACCTCTCCTGTCTCACCCGCTGCTCCCCTCAGCAGTGTATTTCAGTGGACCGCCTGTTCTGTTCCCCACTCTGCCTCTGGTGAATCCCCTTGCCCCCCACGCCTCTGGCCTATACCAGTGCCTCACCAATAGTAGATGTTCAGTGAACTGAACTGAATACTTATGAGGCAAAAGGATAGAAAAGGACTCAACTGACCCAGAACTGGAACCTACTAAATCCCTCGTTTTTGGTTTCATAGTCACTGCTTCAGAAGCCGTGTTATATCTGGCTTCATACAAAGAGTGAATTATCATATTTTTTGGACACAAAATTAACATTTTGCAGCCTACCTTATTTCTTAACTAAGAGATATAAAAGGAAGAGACAACAAAACAAAAAGTAGAAGTGGTGGCCTACTCTTTACAGGTGAGTGATGAGAATATCAAGAGTTGTTTTGCTTTAACAAGCAGATAGGGATGAAAACCGCCCACATACAATGTCCACAAATAGAATTGGTCTCGGAATATTAAGCTTTTTGATTTTCTTAATATGTGGGTGGCAACCATGATAGGTGGCAGGGCCCCATACCCACCCACGCTGACAAAAAAGAAGCCAATAAGTAAACACCAACTGTTATTATTTCTGCTTCTTTAATTTTTGTTATATAGTTGGTGTATTTTCACCGAGGAACTTAAATGGATAAAAAAAAGTCACTTTCAATGGTTTATTTTGTTCTCTGCAAGACTTTTCCCACTATAGACAAATTTTTTTTGTTAATAATTAACCAAATGAGCTCATACCATTTTGTTTGACTTATGCTTTTTTTCCCCTTGCCAGTGATTAAGTGGTTAGAATCTTCGAAGGCTATCAGGTCCTAAGGAAAGCAGGCCATTGATAGTGAGCCCAGTGAATGAGCTTCAGGAAACAAAGCCAGAGTGTCTGATTGAGTTGGTTGGGTAGGGTGAGGGAAGGAAGAGAGCCAGAGCTGGTATGGGGGACAGGGAGTCATGGGGTGGGGGCAATGGGAGGCCAGGGGTTGGGGTACAGGGCCTGGCTGGGCCCTCGGGACACTGGAGGACAGCGAGGAACCCAGTCCTCTGAGTATTACCAAATAATTGCCTAATTGTCCCTGGGTAGCAGAGAACTTTTTTGTCCCTAATGTCTTGCTGTGGCTTCTGGGATGCAGTATTTATTGAAGAGTGACAAACATGAGAGTCGATGCTGTGGTTGCCAGGGAGCTGTTGTGTGCTGTGTTTATTAGAGATGACATTTCTCTCGCTGCTGTTATCAGCATGGAAGAATGTTTCCCTTTCTTTAGAGTGGTCGGGGTGGGGGTGGGGGTGGGGGAGGTGAGGGACTAAGAAGAGGAACAGGAAAATGGGAGAAACTCTGTGAGACCCAGGCCTCATCCTCCAGAGGTTCCCTTCATTGTCCTCAGCCAAAAGCCTGATCTGCTAGAGGCTGGGATGAGATGATTAAGAGATGGTGGGCTTTTGTTACCAGTTGCTTTGGTTACAGAGATGGATCAAATTCTCAGAAGGCCAGTTGTTGCTCAGTGGGGCTGGGTTGAGTGCAAAGCAAATGACAGAGGCTATATATAGAAGCTATAAAGGGATAGACAAGAGGGATATCCTAATGGCTATGCTGAAAGGTCTGGCCAAGGGAGCACAGCAGCTGGACAAAGTTCCAAGGCAAGGGCAGCCAGAAGGCAGTGACAGTGTGGAGGAAGTGGTGCTCTCCACACCAGCCTTACTCCTGGGAGCTGGTCGGTCAGGATCACTGTCCCGGTGAGAACTGCAAAGTGAAAGCTAAAGAGGCAGCCCAACCTGAGTGCACTCTAACAATGGAGACTCCAGGTGTGAGACATAGGACAGATGTTGAGAGGAGAAAAAAAAGATTACTAGGAACCTTAGAAGCATGTATGGCTTGTGTGTAAAGTGGGCAGGGCATGTTAAGAATATGGTGATCCTAAATCCCAGTTAATCTAAAATGATCCTAGTTTATGCCTGTTGGCTCAGTAGCACTTTTGCTTTCAAAGGGGTTCCAGTGTGCATGATAAATTATGTGATTGTTCTATGTAGGGCCAGCCAGCTTGACACGAACAGTCTAGGAGGCTGGCTCTTAGAGCAGAGGCTTCTGACAGTTATGAAGTAGGTAGGAGAGGAAAGTGAAGATTTCAGGCTGAACCAGGCTGATTGGGGCTTTGAAAATCAGACTAAAGATTCTGGACTTTATCTCTGGAAAAGAGGCACTGAAGGTTTTATAATTGGGGATGAAAAATACAAAACCTTAGTTTAGGAATCTTAATCTTGTGGTGAACTCCAGGATGGAATCCAGGAGAAAGACTGGGAGCGATGGAAAAATCAGTTAGGAGTTGATAATCCTCAGGTGGAAGTGACAGAACTGGGGTTGGGTAGCAAGTGAAAGATTGGAGCGGAAAGGAGTAAGGAATGAAAGAAAATGGTAAATAACAGGGAGAAGGAAAAGTCAAAAGTGGCTCCATGACTCAGAGTGATAGTAACAGTAAAAGAAGTAAGAGTGATGGGAACAGATTCTAGAAATGATAATGAGTTTTCGACAAAGTGAGTCTGAAGTTAAGTGGGGACACCAGGGAAGACATGTTAAGGGGGAGCAGAAAACAGCACTAACCTGGAAAAGGACGTTTGCCAGGAAACAACATGGTTCATCTCTTTCTAACTTGTACTACTCTTATGTTTTTCACTTTAAATATTTATTGTGTGTTTGCTAGTTTTGAAGGTATGTGAACCTTCAATATAGTAAGACCTGGGCTCAAGTCCCAGTTCTGCCAGTTACTGGTCATACGTGCTTGAGTAAGTCATTTCATTTCTAAGCCCTCGTTTTTTCAGCGATAGTGTGGAGTTATGATACTGACATGAGAGAATTCTGTAGGTTTTGATAATCATTGTCATCATTTCCTGGATAGTGTGAAGTGAGGAAAGAGGGACAGCCTCAGCCTTACGTTGTAGTCACTTGTTGGGAACAGAAGGGAGACTCGGGAGCAGGAAAGACATCCATGGAAATAGCCTCAGGTGACGGGATGAGGAGTGGGAGAAAGTCAGAAGAGCTTTGGAATATGGTGGGAAAGAGAATTTCCAGCCACAAATTCTTGTTTCCGCAAGGCCAAAAGGAACAGAACTTAGAGGAAAAGCCACCATGATGAGTATTGAGGCATTGGTTCATGTCGGCAAGCATTTTAGAGCTGTCTGCTTGGACTCCGCTAGGTCTTAGAGACGCAGAGAGGACCAGGAGGTGACTGGTATAGTCAAGGGTGTGCTGTAAAGGGGCAGGGTTGGTTTCCGAGGGTAGGAGTTGGTGGTGAGCAAATGGGGACAGCAAGTCTAAACTCTGCATGCAGAGAAGTTAGGTAGGTCCACCATGCCCAGCTCCTGGCGAATGGAGGCCACAGCATTCTCCATAACGTTGGTTCTAGTCCAGCAAAGACTCCTAGAGCTACAGCAGCATGCTTTTCAGATGAGTTCTTTTTTTTTTAAACTGAGCTCTGCACTTGTATTTATTTATTTACTTATTTATGCATACAGAACTGGAGTACAAGCCAGAGTTGCAGGGGAGGTGAGAGGATTCACCAGAGACAGAGCAGGGTGCAGAACAGGCTGACTGACAAAGTACACTGCTGAGGGGAGTGGGCGGGTCAGGAGAGGTCTGCCACACCATGTGGGTCACCTCCCTGGCCAGGGATCGAACTTGTGCTTCAGTGGCTGTGGTAACTTCATAGTGCTATGCTTTAACCCTTTGGGCCACTAGGGAGGGTTCTAATCACCTTTTTAAATTACCAAATACAGCCACATTCTCATCGATTGGGGATATGGACTTCAACAGATAATTTTGGATGTGTTCACTCAGAACACTCCCCTATTGAGACCAAAATCAATAAGCTATCAAGATCCTTTGTTTTCAAATCCTACTTAGAAAAATCCAGTTGTGCCTGGAGGAAAAAAAGAGTTTTTGTGATGATGTGTATCTCCTATAGACTCAGCAAATAAATTGGTTATACTGTTCTCTAATGTTGAATTTATTTTTTTCTTACTTTGTCATCAACAAACTTTAAAACCCAAAGACTCTTCTTTAAAATATCCTGTTTGTACTAGTGCTCTTCCCTTACACAGTGATTCCTGCTGAAGGAAACTTTGAAATGTGACCAGATTGTAAAGCAGAGTCTGTCGATCTTGGACTTTATTACCTCGTGCCAAAGTATCATTCATCCTTGGACAGCT